CAAGTGTTAGCTTTACATTTTATTGTTTTAGTATTACATATTATAATTTAAGTATTTTATTCTTATTGCTTTGCAAGAATTATATCAATGTTTATTTCTAAAAATAAGCTTAATATGGTTCTCATAAATTTAGCGCAAAATAAGTGTTAGGTTATTGATCTGAACATTGAGGGTGACCCATCTTGATCGTTACCTTAATATGATTTATAAATATAAAGAAAAAATAAAATTTGGAAGTATATAAAAAAACTAATTTGATATATATTGACAATTATATTTTTATTTTTATACTTTTAGATGGACGTTTATTGTCACAATTTGTATACAAAGTAAAAGTTAAATGATTTAGTGCTTGAACATGACATCGAATTTGGTTTTATTTGCGAGTAAGAAATGGACTAATACTGCAAAATGATATTGGGAAATAAAAATAATAGTAATAACTAAAAGAGTGAGGGTGTCTCAACCATAAGGGAGACAAAGAGTGATGGACGATATTGACTATATAGACAGAGTAGGACAATGTATATTTATCATTCGATTATTTAATATAATGTTTGGGGTATATGTGGTCTTTTGTGATAGTTTGGGTCCTAAATCATTGAATAATTTGAGCCCAAAATATATAGTTTGTTTATTTTTTTAGTTGATATCATTTGTTTCATTTGGACTTATATTTGAGGTCATCTAAAGTTTACTAAAGTGACGGCCTATAGTTAATCCATTTATTGATCCACAATTATGCAACTATAAATTCTGATATTAATAAAATTAGCATAATGCGTTAACTATTGCTAATTGTTTGTTATTATGACACATGTTTTTCTCTTAAGATAATTACAAGAATATATTATCGCTACTGAATTTTTGCAATAGATAAAGTTCAATACGACTTACTATAATGTATCAACTACTTTTTCTTATCATATTTTATAGTTGTTAGTGTTATCAAAATAAATTGTACTATTTTATAATTTATATAATATAATTTAAATGTCATTTTCTCATCATTTGACGATATTATATTAATTTACATTCCACATGAGTTATGTGGAAAAAAATAAGTAATTTGTTATTGACATGAGCATTAACGATTATTGTGCATATTTGTAACTTTACATAAGGTGATCGATCTTGCACGTCATTATGAGCACCATCGGACTTATTTTGCAAATAAACGAAGTTAATATATATTTAGCAAATTATAAAAAGTGAAAGATATTAATTTTAAGGTAGACGCATGCGCGGTTCAAAATTGAGTCATTTTTGTATTTTTTTCTTAAGTATTTAATTTATATTTTCAATTTTAATTGACTCATATTTTGTACATGTTTATTTCAACTATTATATATAGTATTAATAATATCTTTAGTTATTAATGAAAAAAATTATGTCATTATCAAAATATTTTAGGCAAAAATTTCAAGGAGTGTTATCAATGTGACAAATACATTGAACATCACAAATGTTTCTTTAAGTTGAATTTATTTAATTTGAAACTATTTATTACAAAATATATTGTATTTTATAATCACATTCATTATATGTTATTGTTTTTATAGTCATGGACCTCTATTGTCTGATGATTATTATTTTATGATGATAATGGTAATAATGAATACAGTTCATCCACTAATAATGTTATATTTAGGAAAACAGTGTAAAATCTAATGAATAAAATTTTCATTTGACTTTTTATTATCTCTCTACATATTTTTCTAATATTATTTATTTATTTAAATAATAATTCATTTTACCTCATGTTTTAATATCAGGCCGCGCAACGCGCGGGTGGTGTACTAGTTTATTTAAAAAAGGAGGGAGTAAGTATTTTGTTAACTAAACTTTACCCAACCAATTATTACACCTTCTCTCGATTAGATCAACTATTTACTCACTAAATTGTCGTCGTCGGTCTAATTACCCAAGGTACCACCCCATCAGCACAAGTTACAATCACACAAAAGTTGAAAAAACAATTCAGGCATCCCGTCCAATGAAGCCTCTCCACGTGGCAACTTGCAATATTCCTATTCGCCCTCATGCATACAATACAAAACGAGTTTCCACTCTCATGAATTCCTTCCACAGCAATCTGCCAGTAATCAGTTCTTCCCCTCTCTTTCTCTCTCTACCCATTTCAAGCAACCCAAAAAAATAAGAAAACAAAATCAGATCTCTGTGTGTGGCGGTGCATAATAGCAAGATGCCGAGGGGAAGAAG